CCTAATTTTGAAGCAGCAGATTTCCATCATATCTAAGTTCTTGCTTCTTCTTTTAAGATATCTTATCATTTTCTCTTTTGCCACGACCTCTTTAATTCTCGCACACTAATGTACATAGAGAGGCGTCTGACATATCTCAAGGATACACGACCCATACCACGAAAACCATCCCCGCTTGTGGCGCGTGTGTATCCCCAAGGCACACTAGGACACAAGTGCACTTGTCCGTCTGCGATGAGAAACGTCGAAGCTATCTTTCGAATTCTATGCGAGCCCCATGATTATCATGACAATTACTAGTCCAAACAGACTTTTAAAGGCAGGAAAAGAAGCAAGTTTATTCTGCTGTCCTAGTACTCAAAGTATAGCTAACCTTGTTTCAAACGCATTGGCATATCCTTCGATTGAGCCAGGGAACCCAATGAAAACAAGACGGTTTCAGGACGCTCATCTAGTAATGAACTCAGTTTCTGAATAAACAAGTCCTTAATAACATTTTTTGATCAGGACAATAGCAACATTTGGGATCAGTTGTACGGAAAAAAAATCAATTACTTAAGAAATGTGTAATTACCTCATCCAGCTTCTTCGGCTCATGAAGAGTTGCCCCACCGATGTAACGCAGGATATTTGCTGTTGGCCTAGGTGTTTCGGTAACTTCGTTGACATTTAATAGAACAACTCCAGTTTTCTTCTGGAATAGATAAGACCAATCCAGATGCAGATTTAGAAACGATTCGTAGAAGAACTCAATGCTAACCAGATTCTACTTTAAGCGCTTTTATTTAAACTAGCGTCTTTATGAACATTTGCTAACAACAGATTGAGTAGAGGAGAAGACTTCTTGAAGACTTTTATAAAGCTTTAAAGCTACTTGAAAAACAGAGTGAAAGTCTATTTTCAAAGTGGCGCCTTCATCAATATCCGAGTCCATTCTATCGTTACCAAAATGCAATCAAGTTCGTAACAACAGATTGCATCGTGATTAATCATCAGGTAAGAAACTGAATTTGAGTATATTAGGCTGAAAGGATTCCCCTTAACAGTTACAAACTTACCACAGATTACAAGAAAAATATGTTTTCGAAAGCTGAATGCAATTCAGACCTTTAGTAGATGGCGTAAATTAGGGAATCCAGGCTGAAGATTGTTGGCTATACTCCAGATATCTTTTTCCCAACCAGAAAAGCGATAGTGCAGTTCAATTATAAATTTGAAATTGTCCAGACGTTCCCAGAATGACATTTCATCATTGTACGTGGTGAACCAACCTAAAATATGGCAAATGTTGCCTCTAAAGATCGCAGAAGACTAAGGAAACAGAGGTGATTCATGA